TATATATATGACGTGCATGCATGCAGAGGCAGCCAGCCTTAAATAAAGAGTGGTGAAAATGTTTTAAAGTCCCCTCACAGCTCTACACCTCTTCACAAATGCATGCATGCATGCATGCATGCATGTTTGAAGAGGTGTACAGAAGCATGCATGCATGCATGAATGCATGCATGCATGCCTCTGTAGCGGCAGTCTCCCAGCCCCACAACGAAGACAACGGGGCTTTAGCCCCAGCAACACGCAGCACTTTGCTGGCTGCATGTGGGGCTTGATTCAGCCCCGCATGCATGCATGCATGCATGCATACACACATAACACATTAACACCTATGCATGCATGCATGCATGCAAATGAATGCATCGACACATACCAAATTGCGTACCCATGCATGCATGCATGCATGCATGCATGCATGCATACCAATCGATGCTTGCAGTAAACGCATGCATGCATGCATGCATGCATGCATACCAATCGATGCTTGCAGTAAACGCATGCATGCATGGATTTGCTTAGAAGTCGGGTCCCCTGGAGAGTATTTCAGTGCTCTTTGCTCCGATGAAGATAGTATGCTCAGACTGAGAAGTGTAAGACCCAAAGACATCCGAGAGAGGGGGATAAGGTACAATTAAACCCGACTTTACTAATTGCTGCAACGCCATTTGATGAGAGACAGCCCCAGCTGCATGCAACCAACGACGACAAAATGCTAACGTCCCGAAGCGCTGCACACAAATCATACACATCATCAAATACTCTCGAATCTTTCTATTGCTGCTGCTGCTCTTGCTGCTGCTGCTCTTCTTGCTGCTGCTGTTCTTGCTGCTGCCCTTGCTGCTATATATATATATATATATACATATATATGTATATATACTGGGAGCAAACATATTACCCTATATCTATATTACACATATAATATATATATAATTAGATATTAGATATTATATATATATATTATATATATGAAGTAAAGACATACCTCATCGATGAGCTTGAGCAGATCTTTAGTGGTCTTGAGTCTCAAGGGGATAAAGCCTGCTTCAAAGCTCTTCATATAATGCGAACAATCTGCTGTCTCTTGAACGCTGCCTTTGCCTGTCGTTGCAAATGTTTCTACCGCATACACCTCACCCTCTTCGATGCGGTTTGATAAAGAACTGCTGTGCACGCTGCTTCCTACTATAGGCACTGATTTGCCTGCACACAAATATATATTATCACTCTGTTTAAATAGCTATAAAAAGATATATATATATATATATAAAGATATATATATAAATAGAGTTTGTTTATATAAAGAACTGCTGTGCACGCTGCTACCAACTATAGGCACTGACTTGCCTACAAACAAATATAAATATAAATATAAATATAAATATAAATATAAATATAAATATAAATATAAATATAAATATAAATATATATATATATATAGAGGTACATGCATGCGTATACATGTAGACAGTATTCATATAAAGAGAGATATAACATAGATATATATATATATATATATATATATGTAGATACATATATATATATATATATACATATATATATATATATATATATTTCTTCTGTAATTTGTTGTATTTTATTTGAATAAACAAAAGGCATGCATGCAAGCGGTGTAGCCCCTTTAGGCTTCCATCTCTATTAGGGTTTAAGACTTGGCTAGGGTTTAGGGTTTAGGGTTTAGGGTTTACCGGCGTGTATTCTATAAGGAGCAATAGAGTGGCCGGTAAGATTTCTAATGGGTTTAATCGGCACTGTCTGCCCGTCTAATTGCATCTCAAAAGAATTAATTGTTTCTTCTATTATACACCCTAACTCTGATAAACGCGCATCTACACCTGCTGCACGCAAACCCGCGTTCGTCGCCTCCTGTACAGTACATACATACACCCCAAACCCTAAACCCTAAACCCTAAACCCTAAACTCTAAACCAGAAACAAGAAACCCTAAACCCTAAACCCTAAACTGTGGAAGACAGTAATAAACCCTCAAGCAGCCAAATCCAACACTATAAGGCTTAATAATACTAAACTTTATAAGCACTAAACCTTAAATTACTACACAAACCCTAAACCCTAAACCCTAAACCCGGTTAACCCTACAGATCCGTAAACCCTAAATCCCCTAAACCCCCGAACACAGATTCAGAAGAAACGGCATCCAAGCCACCCAGCTTCCGCTCCCGCTGCCTCCCCAAACCCTAAACCCTAAACCCTAAACCCTAAACCCTAAACCCTAAACCCTGACCTTGGTGGCTTGGATTAGGGGATCGAATTTGGGGTCAAAGGCGATGGAAAACGCGCAGTCGATGATCCGGCCGCGAACTTGAACGCCGAAATCCAACTTGCAAATATCCCCTGAACACACAAACCCTAAACCCTAAACCCTAAACCCTAAACCCTCAATGGGCCATCAGAGAAGAAAGTTCTCGTCTACATTCGTTTGACGCGCTTCGTTTGCTGCCCGGTTCCTCTAAGCACTACTCCTAAACCCTTCAAAACCCTAAACCCTAAACCCTAAACCCTAAACCCTAAACCCTAAACCCTTGCCTTGTCCAAGTATCCGATCTTCTCCAGGGTTTGGAGTATAATGCGCAGCACATTCATTAAGGCTACAACCGGTAGGAAACCCCTTCCCTCTCTCTATTCCTGCTGCAGCAATTAGCTCTTCAGTCTTTGCTTCTAATTTGTTACACAATTCTGTTAATGATAAACCAGGCCGCAACAAACTCTGTGCATAACGCCGCACCTGCAGCACCAGCACCAGCAGCAGCAGCAGCAGCAGCAGCAGCAGCAGCAACAGCAGCGATGCGAAGTGAATCAAACACAATTTAAATAAATTAAATATAAATAAACAAAACTAAATAAATTTAAACACATTAAATATAAATAAACAAAAAAATATAAATTAATTAAACTAATTTAGACATTTATATTACATCAGACGCATTAAATAAATTAAAGTGAACGCACACCCAAATAAATTTTATTAATTTTATTAAATAATAAAATAAATAAATAAATAAATAAATATAACAAATAAATAAATAAATAAATACATAAAACAAACAAATAAATACATAAAACAAATAGATAAATAAATAAATAAAACAAACAAATAAATAAATAAACAAATAAAACAAATAAACAATTAAATAAATAAAACAAACAAAACAAAATAAAAAAAATAAAAAAAACAAATAAACAAATAAATAAATAAAACAAATAAAATAAATAAATAAATAAATAAAACAAATAAACGAACAGACAAAACAAACGCCTTTACTTCGTTTGCATGCAAAACAAAACCTTCTGCTATCCGACAACCCGCTACGCACCCGCGTGGATTAGGGTTTAGGGTTTAGGGTTTAGGGTTTACCTGGCGGTGGCACTCAGCTGCTTCTCTCAAACCCTCGATATCTACCTCAGCTAATCGCTCGGCTTCGCGAGCTTCCGCACCATTAGGAGGAGATGCGTACAACTGAATCTCCCCTGAAACACAAACCCTAAACCCTAAACCCTAAACCCTAAACCCTAAACCCTAAACCCTGAACTACGAGGCTACAGTGTAGACGCGTGGCGCTGCGCTAGAGCTTAAATCTTTATTGATATGCCCCTATCCCTCAAACCCCAAACCCTAGACCCTAACCCCCAAACCCTAAACCCTAAACCCTAAACCCTAAACCCTAAACCCTAAACCCTAAATACCTTTGGGGAAGTCCCCGGAAGGGAAGAGCTGCTGCATTGTTTTTGTAGGTGGAACCGTTTGCTGCGAGGGTTTTTCTTCAGGCCAGCTGCCTAGACACCGCAGCGCAGAGTTATCTTGGGCAGGTAAGAACCCTAAACTTTTTGCTGCTGATGCTGCTGATGCACTCTTCTTCTTCTTCTTCTTCTTCTTTTTTGCTGCTGCTGCAGCGCCTCCTTCGCCGCCAGCTGCATCTTCTGCTGCTGCTGCTGCAGCACCAAACTCCTCCCCTTCGCTCTCAGTGACTTCCTGCAGATACACCCCCGCCCGCAAACCCTAAACCCTAAACCCTAAACCCTAAACCCTAAACCCTCAAATCAGCAAGCTCACCTTCCGGGGCTCCGCCTCAACTTCCAGGCGCTTCTCTTCCTGCACCAAACTGCCCGGCATTGTGATTAGGGTTTGGGGTTCTTTCAATTAAACTTCAGCTGCAGCAGCAGCAGCAGCAGCAGCAGCAGCAAGGTTGCTGGGGCTGCACAGGGCCCCCCGTGTACATACACCCGACTATTCTCACGTTTGTGTGGTAAAAATCCACATATAAAAGTTATAAAGGCTGCTGTTGAGGGTTATTGCTGCTGCTGCTGCAGCAGCTGCTGCAGTGGGGCTGCAGCGGCTGCTGCAGCTCGCAGATCGAGCAGCAGCAGCAGCAGCAGCAGCAGAAACGAAGACATAAAGAAAGGATAAACCCCGCTAATTGCGCTTCTAGTTTTCTTTGTTTTTTATTCATTTAGAGAGTTGCGATGTTCTCCGCTGTGGCAGCGGCTTTAACCCAATAGCTCCAGCAGCAGCAGCAGCAGCAGCAGCAGCAGGAACAACAGCAGCAGCAGCAGCTACTGCTGCTGCTACTGCATATACGCTGCACACTACGGACTTGCTGCTACAGCAGCAACACACACAACCCACCTCTAACCAACTGTATTACTCTTGTTTGTTTTAACAGTAAAGGCTGCGGCAGACAGCACTAGCTGCTGCAGCGATAGCAGCAGCAGCAGCAGCAGCAGCAGCAGTTACAGCAGCAGGGAATAGCAGGACCTTCAGCAGCTGCAGCAGCGACAGCAGCTATATGCATGTAACAACTACACCTACGCCTTATGACACAGCAGCAACAGCAGCAACAACAACAACAACAGCAACACCAGCAGCAGCAACAGCAACATCCGCAGCAAATACACTGACTTCCAGCAGCAGCAGCAGCAACAGCAGGCGCTGCTGCTGCTGCTGCTGCTACCGCACACATAAA